TAGACCCACACCAAGAAAACATAATCCAGCTAAGAGTCCGCAGTGGTTCCGACTTTGCAGCACTTGGGGAAACTTTCTTGTTTGCCTCCCAGTAGCCTATTGTCCTAGTTTTCTGTTTATTTTTCTTCCTAGAGCAGATTTTTAAACAGCCACAAATTTTGGTCCTCCCTGTACTGATTTGGAACATTATGTCCCCATCTCCTTGGATCTAGGTAGCCTCCACGACCATTCCGATTAGCCAAATGCTGTGCAGATCCTTGGCTGGGATCTAAGTTGAGCCCTTAGTAACAATATTTGATCATATAGGTACAATGTGAGAAGTCCACAGGCCCTGCAGAAAAGGGCTCATGACCCTGGATCTGAACCAAGAGGAAAGGAAGAACTGACTGAGTCCCTCCTACTCACCCCTGCTGAGAGGTCAGGCAGCCATCAGATGAATGTTACCCACCAGGCTCTGTTTGAAGTTGAAATGTTCAGAACCATTTCTTTTGCAGTAATAAGTAAGAAAACTTGTCTTAGAAGAAGAGTGGCAGTTTCTTTCGGCTGCCTTAGGCCTGCCTCTTGCTTCTACAAAGTTTGAATGGAGTGCAGTCATTCCCAAGGTTTACGTGCATACTGTCCTTAACTACTAAAAGGCAAAGTTAAATAGTTTTGCAAAGAACACCAGGTGTCTCAACAAATTCAAATTATTTACCGTCTGGCCCTTTACTAAAAAGTTTATTGACCCTTCTCCTAGCAAAAGCCTTCCCCATGGAACCCAGGATTCTCTCTTGTGAGGAGTATGCAATGTGGTGGTCAGTTTATGTCAACTTGATACAACTAGAGTCATTTGGGGACAGGAAACCTCAACTGAGAAAAATGCCTCCATATGTTTTCTTGATTGATGATGGATGTCGAAGGACCCATCTCACAGAAGGACAGTACTACCTCCGGGTAGTCCTGGGTGCTTTAAGAAGCAGGCTGAGAAGGCCATAAGGAGCAACCTGGTAAGCAGAGTCCCACTCTGGCCTCAGCTTTAGTTCATTCTCCCAGCTTTCTAACTCCAGTTCCTGCCCTTACTTCCCTGGGTGATGGTCTACAAGCTTTAAGATGAAACAAACCCTTTCCTCTCCAAGTTGCTTTTGGTTATTGCGTTTCATCACAGCAACAGAAATTCTAATATATGTAGTAACTAAGCCATTGCCATCAACCATTGTAGAGCAGCGGTTTGCAACCTTCCTAATACTGTAACCCTTTAATACAGTTCCTCATGCTGTGGTGACCTCCAACCATAAAATTATTTTGTTACTACTTCATAACTGCAATTATGCTACTGTTGTGAACTGTAATGTAAATATCTGATATGCAGCCCCCAATGGGGTCTCACTCACAGGTTGAGAACCACTGACCTAGAGTCTCCCTAGATTAAGACACTATCATTGCCCAAGGCATCTGGCCTTTGGGAAGTCAGTTCATCTTTTCTTGCTTTCAGTTCCCTCACTTGTAAAATGAGAAGACTGTAACAGAACTGTATTCCTGTTAAGTGTTCCATGAAACATTAAACCCACAGGCTTTTCCATGGAAAAAGACCTATAGGCACATTACTGAGAAACACATGATATCCCCTATCCTACTGGAGATACAAAGAGAATTTAGCAAAACTGGGCTTCTAAGCAAAGCATTACATAAGCATTTTCTTAAACATCTTTAGATCCAGCCCCGTATCATCCAACATCCTCCCATGGAACCCAATGCTAAGGTACATACTATAGGAAACTGTATGGTCCTCCTTTGTTCCAATAGTCCCTGGAACTAGAATTATTCTTCTAGCTACAGAAAGTTATTTTTATTTCTTCAGTGTCCTTTGAGAGGTCCCTTTCCAAAACCTGCTGCCTGTACTATCACTGCAGTGTGAGACCCTGCTATTGGAATCTGCTGATTCCACAGACTGGAGACACAGAAGCCATGTAAGCAAGCTGCAGATTCTCCTAACGGAACTAAAACGACACAGTGATGAGCAATCTCTGGGCGACAATGATAATAATGGTCTTGAAGTAAAGGGATTAAATGCAGACAAATTTAAAAATTGCTCCTAGCTTTTGTAATCTGAACATTTCTTCACGTGGGCCAAAAGAGAATGCACGATTCTTTCCCGGAATGACAAATGCTATGCACACAATGGTGCATGCTTAGACAGTGTTAGGTACAAGGTAACCTTACTTATTCTGACTGCTTGTTGAAAATGCCTATCTGACCAATTATTCAAAACAAAGATGTCTCTCTCTTGGGAATAATAGAGGAGGGCTGTCCTCCCAGTACTCTGACAGTTGAAACTGCTGACCTGGAGACAGACCCATCATGTTTCTTACTTTGTATGAATATGTCTAATTTTGGTCCTACCTATGTCAGACGTAGCAAGTTGTGCAGATACACCACTGTATAAGCCCCCTTGTAGCAATCCTGCCAGACATTGTAAAAAGACACTGTGAATTTATCTTGGGCTAATCACACTGCTGAAACAATGGACTCCAAGGGATTGGAATTTTCTCCTTTTGCTGGTGAAGGGGAAGGCTGAAGCCCTGGAGAGAAAGGAAGAACTTGTCCTCTAAAAAAAGGTTTTCCACAGATGCCAGCTTGTAGGGCAAATAGAGATGGTGATGTGTCAATGATGAGCTGGGCCATACCAGGAACTCTTGCCTAAACTTCATGTCAGCATCCTGAAAGTGGACTTCATAGGGAACCTCTGAATCCCTTTGTTCTTGTTCCCAGTGTGGTTATATTGAATCATCTTCCTTTAGTTTTTATCACTTGTTTCTTTAGTTGGCGCACTGAAAGTAGGTGGTGGTTCCTTGCATGTTAAGGCTACTGAAGCTAGTGAAGTTCTTCACTCTAAAAACTTGTCTTTTCTGAGACTGATACTCCAACCAAGAACCATTCATGGAGATAACCTAGAACCCCTGCACAGATGTAGCCAATGGCAGCTCAGTCTCTTAAGTGGGTTCCCTAGTAAGGGGGACAGGAGCTGTCTCTGACATAAGCTCAGAGGCTGGCTCTTTGATCACCTTCCCCTGAGGGGGGCCAGTCTTACCAGGCCACAGAGGAAGACAATGCAGCCAATCCTGCTGAGACCTGATAGGCTAGGATCAGATGGAAGGGGAGGAAGACTTCCTCTATCAGTGGACTGGAGGAGGGGCATAGGAGGAGAAGAGGGAGGGAGGACAGGATTGGGAAGGGATGAGGGAGGGGGCTACAGCTAGTATACAAAATGAATAAATTGTAGTAAATAAAATTTTTTAAAACTTCAGTATTGTCCTCAGTAGTTCAAATACCGCAATTTTAATAAATTATTTTTTCTAGTAATTATTTGGACCAAGTTTATTAAGCTGACATAAAAAAGAAAAGATATTTTCATTTTTAATGACTGCTTAATAGAATGCCATACTGATTACAACTACTAATCTAGGATCATACTAAAAAGTAAAAAGAATAGCATAGTTCCTGGCTTTTAGTAGCTGTAAAGATTATTTCACTGAACTGGAGAAATAATCTTCAGGAAAGATTATTTCCTTTCAACTGTGAAACATTACAGGGCCAGGGGTTAGATGACACATTCTTTTATTCTTGGTGTTTTAACCAAACAGTCCACTCTGTAAGTGACATCTTTAGTAGTCAATTTGGCAATAAACATAGATCTCTGGACTTACCTGTTGGGTGGGTGACATGGTAAATGTATCGTGTGGGGAAGCTGGGTGATATAGAAGAAGAAACAGCTTTGAATCCAGATGGAACCACTTCTAATCTTAATTTGCCACACGATCTCACCAAACTCATTGATCAACTCTGCTCTCGCTACCTCAGCAAAAATGTGGAGCGTAGACTGCCTATATCACTCGTTCACAGTGAGATAATCTGTAGAAAGCATCCAGCAAGCTGTCTGGCCCATGTTAAATATCTAATGAAAGGATGTCTCATTGTTCTTGCTTTTCTTGCCTATACGACCTTTCATTCATTCTTCACTCCATTAACACATAGTGACTATAAGCCCACTATGGCAGGGAGGTACAATAAAACAGGGAACCCAAAAGGAACATCCCCATGGAGTGTAACAGACCAGAGAGTGGCCCCTCAACAGCATGTACCCTGTGCCAGCCATTGTTCAAAGAACTTTCCCACACATGCACACAGGTGCTTCTTCTTGAGTTTTCACCCCAATCTCGTGCGGCAGCCATCTTGCTTAGGTTTTTATAGCTTGTCTATGCTTTGAACTGCCACGCTGTGATGCCTCTCCAAGTACTCGAATTGGATTCTATGTTTTCACAGAGCATAAATGACCCTTTTGTAAATATTTCTAAAGCTCTAGTGAGCCAACCAAGAAGATGTCCATTTCTTTTAGAGAAGCCTAGGCGCAAAAACCATGTCAATTGAGCAAGCACAGGCGTGACTAACCTACCGCTTCATGAGTGCCTATGGTAACAGTCACCTTTCCCAGCCTAACTCACCCCTTCCCATCCTGTGTGCCTTCTGATCCGGAAGGTGTTTTCTGGCAACAACACTAGGCAGCATATAGGTTTTCGCTCAACATCGGTCCTTTCATCTTTTAGCAACATGGAGACCGTCTAGCTGTAATCCAGTTTTGACCTTCAACATTACACTCCTCCATGCCCACCAGAATCTCCCAATAGAAAAGCTAAAGGAAAACCAAGCTGCCATACTTTATTTAGCTCTTTTCTTACAAGTGCATGCCTAACTGGATATGGTGCCTGCATGCTTGCAAGGTCATCAAGGAAGTAGGAAGGAGAGTGGGTTTCAGACTCTTGAGTTCATGTTTCAGGACAAGGCAGACACTACGCTGTCCGAGAAGCCCGAGCCCGCCCAACATAACAGCAGTAGCTCACGCCAAGAAACCACTCACCAGTCACCAGCATCTCTGTAGAATAAAAGCCATGGTGCTGATATTGAAAGGAAAACCTCCCTCTTGTTAAATGGTCGGCAATGACCAAGACAAAAAAGATTTTACTTACAGGCGGGCACTGGGCCAGTTTATCAGCTGCCACCAGTTGAACATTCAAGTGTTTACTTTGGGACTTTCCTCTGGACTTAATCAGCCGCTGTAGGACCTGACAGGATGACAGGGACGGTTATCAGTGAGTTGAAAGAAAACCAAAAACACTGGGATCTTTTTTTTTTTTTTTAACAGCTTATGTAACCTGGAGAAATAGTAAAGAGGATCTACAATATAAGAAATCTCCCACTTAGAACTCTGTGCTGATGTCCTGTGGGCCTAGAGTGGAGGTGTCCATCCTGTCCTAGCTCCCGTGGGGGTCTTGAGGACAGCCTCACTGCCCACCTAGACTTTTAATTCTTCTGAAGATTTTAGAGCTCCCTGTCAAAGGGAAAGAGCTGGGCTGTTCCTGCTCGGGTTGAGTCAATCTTTTAATGTTCAGCTCAGTAATATTTCAGTTCATTAGCTCTATGCTGCATATCAAGGTCATTTACGCATGCAATGTCTTTCAATAATTAATGAAATATTTGATTCAATTTTAATTTAATCGAACTATTTCAGGATTGAAAATCTAGGTAAAGCATTTGTGTTGAAACATTGTTGCACATAAGACAGACTATATCTATGCCTTTGGTCATAGCTGTAGCTACAGTTAGACATACACTCTTTCTTTCTTTTTTGGTTAATGTTGAAGCAAAGCTCTCTCTGTGTAAATACTGCTACTTTTTGAAGTTCTGTGACACCTTAGTGCATGGGTCCACGCAAACCCTTGCACTTCCAGACACCACAGCAACAGTGCAGTGGGGATGGAGTGACCTTAGCCTCACTGCAGAGGCTGCTTGAGACCCCAGCACCTAGAGACAAGAACACTTCTGGTGGTCAAGGGAATGCCGCTCTGTTCTCCTCACTCCCTGGAACTGACTGACTAACTAACTAACCGTGGTTGGGGCTCACCCAGTTACTGCACAGGTGCAGTGCCCTCCCGAGGCTGAGAACTTGGGAAGGGAACAAATCACAGCTTCTCTGGGCTTTTCCCTAACCACCAAAGGAGACCATTGTTTGGGTGGAGAGGTTGAATTTGCATTTAGGCACAAGGAAAAATTGGAAAGGAACTAAGTACTAGGGTAATGACTCTTGTTGGCTTCAATTTCATATTTATTTTTAAAGCACCGCCACTGCTTAAAAACAAAGCAGCGGGGACAGTGAGAAGGTCCCGTGGGTAAAGGTGAATAATACCAAGCCTGGTGGGCCGAGTCCAGTCCTCAGAGTCCACATGGTGAAAGGAGAGAACTTACTATCACAAGTTGTCCTCTGACCTCCACACATGCACTATGACAACACAAGCGCATTCACACACAGACTAACAAAATAAAGAGTAAATGTAAACAATAGAAGGATATCAAACTCAAGAGTGCAATCTGGGGCCATCTTCCTCTATTCCTGTCACTCCAAAGAGCGTACATGACCAGCTGTGCTTAACCAAGGAAGAACTATATTCCTCAACAAACCCAGCCACACACGAATGGCAATTTACAGAATAGCATTTCTGTAAGAGATGTTTACTCGGTGATCTTTGACCTTACATAAGATATCTCTCTGAATTATGTATTCACTCTCTCAACTGGGCATAACATATAGGTGATTTAAGAATTGATGTCATACAGAAAATTTTCCAAGAGGGGATATACAGCCTATGAAAAGTTAAAGTCTACTTTGCATTTTCCTTCCTTGTGCTCTTGTTAGTATTTTATCAACATGACAGCAGGCAGCAGCTTCCAGAAGAGATGTAGTATTATTCCCAGCTACCCTCAAATCCCCAGCACTTAAGTACTGTTAAAAAATGTGCTCATGAATAGACTCTTGAGACATTCTTCTGCCCACAAACTAAAAGGCAGGGCACAACCTCAAGAAGGAAGCTTCTAGACTCATAGGCAGGAATGTGGTGATTACCTTTGGAGAAGACACTTTCACGTGAACAATGATGGGGGCTAAGGACGTCTTTATAAGCTGTGCTGGGTGATTGATGGTGTCTGCATCAAGAACGACCAATTGTAAAGATCTTGCCAATTCAAAGATCCTTTCAATTTCACTCTGTACTTCCGCTAAAAGGGGAAACAATAAAATGGCAGGTAATGGTTAGTCTCAGTGATTATCACGTATACTAAAAAGCATACATAATAACAGTATAAGCTTTCAGGTATGTGTGTGTGTATAATAAATAGTAGAACCAACTGTTTTGAATTTTCATAGACCTGTCTAACAAAGTCTTTTCTATTTTAAATTTTGAGACATAGTCTTATTATGGAGGCCTGGCTGGCCTGGAACATGTTATGGTCTCTAACTCACAGAGGTCAGCCTGCTTCTGGCTCCCAAGGGCTGAGATTAAAGGCGTGCACCACAGAAGGTCTGTTCTTTTTTTAAGTCTTTTCTGAAAATAAAATTGTGCATAGAATAAAACAATTGGCAGAAAAACACAAGGCAGCTCTCTGGGTTTGCTTTGTACACTCAGCCTAGCATGGAGTTATTCATATAGCTACGGTGATTCCATCTTGGGGTTGCGAGCGAGCACGCGTGCACACGCGTGTGTGTACACACACACACACACACACACACACACACACACACACACACACACCTGATTGTATTAAAATGCTACACTGACTCCATCTTGACTCAGACCTACCTGGCTGGTTGTAATAGTCAACTAGCCCAAATATGCCTCTTCTACATTGGTCAAATAAAAATGCTAGTTCTTTTCAAATGTCTAATGTAATCCAACTACTCTTTTGGGGGGACAAAGCCTTGCTTTGCAGCCCAAGCTGATTATGATCCTCCTGCCGACACCTCCTAAGTATTGTGCAGAGATGTGCTAGTGTTTCTATGCATGTCTTACAAGCTCTTCTGCTTTTGTTGTTGTTGTACCAAAGGCATATGGTAACACAACAACAAAACATCAAAGTATATGTTTTTCTGAAATGCAAAAGTCAGGCATGCTGGTGACACCTGAAATCCCAATACTTGGGAAACTGAGGCAGAAGGATCATGACTTCAAGGTCATCCTGAGAAACACAGTGAGTTTCAGCCTAGACTGCATTCTGTCCTGCTGTCTCAAAAACTGGTACTGTCTCAAAAGACAATAATAGTGACAAAAAAGTCCTCTATATAGTTTATGAATCACGTGATGTAGTGGGTCGCGATCAAAATCTGAATTAGATTCTATTAAGGGCAAGACTTCGCATAGAAGCAAAATTTCTCATTTCTTATAGAATCACTGATATTTAAACCATGAAGTACATTAAAAAGTATGAATATGGCTAGAAGGATGGTCCAGCAGTTAAGAGCACTTGGTCTTAATTCAATTCTTAGCTCGATTCTCAACATTACACAGCTCACAACCACCTGTAATCCAGCTCCAGGGGCTCAGACAACCCCTCTAGCCTTCTCGGGTACCCCCATATGTGTGGCACACACATACACAAATAAAAATCTTCATAAAAATATGAATTTAAGGAGTTGAAACACATATCACTTTTGCATTATCAAATACCAATGTCCTCATTCTCCAGTGACCAGCTTTCAGGGTATTTGTCAGTAATAATGAACATATATTCATTTTTTTCTATCATGTCAGAAACAGTTTAAAAATAACTTCTCAATAAGGGCATTTGGAAAATAAAGCCAATTTTTACTTCAGTCAGTTTCAGCAGAAGGATGCTGGGGTAGGTCCTCAATTTGTGCTTTAATTAATCTGCCACAGTTTTGCTTCTAGGCAGAACTGTAGCAGAACAAGCTTACAACATTTCAGTTTCAAGTCTCACATATTTATTATAATATAAAATAATATTTGATAATTTTCTGCAGGATCAGAAATGCAATAATACAAACTGGACTGCTCCAGGACCAGAACCCACAAGGCACTCTAAGTCTTGGCCCAAACAGTTCAGAATACCAGGCTTTTATTTACTCTGGAGTGTCAGGTCATAGTCACTGCTGCAACATATAAAGCCCTTGGCAGTGGCACTCTGGCATTAGCAGTGGTGGAGCCTGGGTAAATCATAAGGCCACATTACATAGTGGGGTGAGCCCAGGATTTGGAAAACACGTATATAAAATGTAATAAGCAAATTACAGGCACGAGGAAGACAAGGGTCTCTACCTAGCTCATCTTCTTCAAGGAAATCAGCAATCAGACAGGTTCTCAGAGGGGTTCTAATGGAAGCTTCATACATCTGTTACAGGCTAACAAAGGTGGGACCATCGTAGAGTCTGGTGCTGGAGGCTCTGAATGAACACTCTTTGCCACTAGACTGGATGCTCCAGCATCTTGGGGACTGGTGATGCTCCTCCTTGCGCCCAAGTTGGCTCTGGTATTTATTTGTTTACTTTTGAGACAATGTCTTACACAGTCCAGGCTGGCCTTGAGGCCCTGTTCTTCTTGACTCTACTACCCAAGTGCTGTGATGGCAGGTGTGCATACCCTCACTTAATTTCCAGAGCTGTTATTATTTTGTCCATGGGCTCAGGATATTTCCCAAAGTGACTTACTTCTATGCACACTCTAACTCATCTACAACTTTTTTTTTTTTTTTAAGACGGGATTTCTCTGTGTAGCCTTGGCTGTCCTGGACTCAATTCATAGATCAGGCTGGCCTCAACCTCACAGTGATCCACCTGCCTCCCCAAGTGCTGGAATTATAGGTGTGTGACACCATGCCTGGCTCATTTGCAATGTTTTTATTCTCCATTTTGGGAGGATTTTAAGATGTTTTCCAACAAGTACCCATAAAAGACAAGTTGAAGTTCTCTGCATGTTCATCATGGTTGCCACTATTTCTGCTGAAAGGTGTGATTCCTCTGGGTATACCAGTTGGCCACACAAGAACTTCATTACCTTGCCCTTCTAAAAATCTTATTTTCTTTCCTGTTAGCCATGTGTTAGCTATGACAGAAACCTTGTGAAGTTTGGGGAAAAGGAAATGGGTGGTTTCCCGTGGTTAAGCAGCAATTGATAGAGGAACCTGAGACTGCCTCTTTCCACCAGACTGCTGCTGAGCTAACCGACTAGAACTGAGAGAAGGGGAGGGAGGAAGGGAGGAAAGAAGGGAGAAATGGGGAAGGGAGAGAGGGAGGGAGGGAGAGAGAGAGAGGGACAAAGGGAGGGAGGGATGGAGAGAGAGGGACAAAGGGAGGGAGGGAGGGAAGGAGGGAGGAAGGGAGGAGAAGAAATAGGGAGAGAGAGAGGAAAAGGGAGAGGGGGAGAGAGAGGAAGAAAGAGAGAGAAAGAGAAACAGAGACAGAGAAAGAGAGAGAGGGAGGAGAGAGAGAGAGAGCAGGATTCTGGCTGCTGCAGGACTCTGTCCTGTCTGCTGGCTGCTTTTCTCTATAGATATTCAACATTTCTCCAGGCAGGGCGAAATGCCCAAGCAGGACAAGACATTCCCCACACATACACCTCATGAAAACATCTTACCTAAGCTGGATCTGGTGTTTGAACGTTCAATTATTGCCCTCTTGCTAGGATTGTTGAGGACAGACCTCTTAGCAAGAGAAATGTCGGCTGTCACTCTTGTTATTGATATCCTAGGAAGAGGAACACAGAACAGAACAAGCCAGTATAAATGTTACATGGGCTCTCGGAGGGACTTACAGCCAGAGTGCTTACCAGCCACTTCACATACCGCCATGGAACCACTGCACAGTAAACATCAGCCACAAGGACTTTAAACAGATTCTGACTCGTATTAAAACAAGCAGTGAATGACGTCAGGCTTTGGCTCTTTCGCTGGAAACCACTCCAGTGAAAACATGTTCCTTCTGTTATGGCGTGCCTGTCCAGGCTGCCCTTAAAACGCACACCACACCAGGAGGGAATCAAAACACGAATTAGCCATGCTCTTTCTAGGAAAGAGTTTACAGTTTGCTCAGAATTCAAGTTGATTGAACAAGACCTTTAGGACCCACAGCTGCTCTGCCCTAACGCTGTTGGCCAAAAGGTAAAAGCTTCATTTGATTACAGAAAAAAAATATAAGAATCAGCCAGTCTGTAGCTATGCTGTGTTTCTTGGCTCAGGAGTTAATCCCTGATAAATGAAGCGTTTCTCCACAGGCCCAAGAGGAGCTTTGGCGGTAGGATGTGAGAAATACAGTTTCTTTTCTGCAGGCATGGGAGCCTCAGTATGTTTGCACAGTTTCTCTGAAGTCAATGTGAGCATGTGCCTAGAGTGTTGTTAAGTCAGAACTCACCTTGCAGAGAATACAGAAGAATAAAGCAGAGATTTTTGTATGGAGAGAGGGGAACAACCGGAATATGCATTATCAAATGAAGACACGAAGAGTTTATCATTTAAAGATAATTTTTAACTGAGACGGCTCAGATTCTAGCTATTATCTGTAGAATTCAAAGCTGGTCTGCCTAGACCAATTAGAGAAATCCACAGATCCTAGTGTCACCCACACAGCTTGCCTGAGTTCAGAAATGGGAGAATCACTTGTCCTTATCCTCAGAATATAGCCTTATTCTTCTCCAGGGTCAAACTTCTTTGAGGATTAGAGTGGAGACGGAAGCATGTATTTAGTTGCATGTCCTTTCATTCCCATTTCAGGCCATTTTAAAACTATCTGGAGACTTTGGAAAGTAGAAGCGTTGGGAGAACCTAAAACTGTCCTTTTCATAAATTCTTAGAAACAAACAAAAAAAAATAGGGCAGGGTCTCACCATGTGTACTCTGAATTCATAATCCTCCTGTCTCCGCCTTCCTTGCACTGGAACTACAGGGATCCACCCCTCGCCCAACTTTAAAGCAACAGAAGGTGCAGACATTCTAGCGGGCTTCTAAAGCCAAGTGGTGCTTAGCCTCGGCTGCTGCATTTATAAGCTGCAGGTGCTTGGAACACAACAATGGTTTAACTTTTTGAATTTTTACGCCTTGATAATTATTCAAGGCGGCCTCAAACTGTCCCGTGTGGAAACAAACGCAGGACAGGGATTTCCTGAGAACCACTGTGAGCACCAACATGAGTGCTCTCCAGCTTATACTTCAGCTTCTCTCTTCCGCATGGAGCTTGTTCATGCTTTCATTGTTTTTTAAAAGAGAAAGAAAGGAAAAAAAAGGAAAGGCAAAAAAGAAAAGTTCAACTGCTAAGGGACATAAAAAAAATACTGGTGTAACAACTTCTACATTCTACCAAGAAGGAAAATGAGAACAGAGAAAATCCACTGCCCATTCTGGGCCATGAAGGCCTTCAACATAGGATGAGGCTTGGTGACTTTGGATGTATAATTCTCTTTCTGCTCAGTTTTGTTTCCCAGCAGTAATAAATCTCTGAGATGAGCCAAGCCACCAGGTGTAGGTTGACAACAACTCTGGCCCTGCTGTGAACGTGGTGGGGGTAAACCCAGTTTGAATCAAGGGGGCTGCATACTCGAGTTTCCGCTACAGCTTTTCTTCTTCCTTTCTTTTTCTTTTTTCTTTTTTTTTTTTCCTGTTAGTTAGTTTGTTTTGTTTCATTTTTAGACAGAGTCTCATTCAGTAGCACACGCTGGCCTCATACTTGCAGTAATCCTATTGCCTTAGAGTTCCGGAACTACAGGTGTTAGCAGCCATGCCTGAGATGTAGCTCTGAGCTGTCATCTCCTTCAGGCACCACATTTTCATTACAGAAGAGGGGACTTGTGTTTAACCTGGGGTGCTAAGTTTCTTGTTTGTTAAAGAACAGAGCATCAGAATAGAAGTACACTGCCCTATTCTAGAACAACCCAACTATATGGCTATAGACAAACTGGCTGACTTAAGGCAGAATTCAACTTGCCAGAATAATATTTTTTTTTCCTGTGTCCACATTTTCTAGTTCTACATAAGCCAAAAGTAACTCGTGGTTTTTAAATTTTGAACGCATATTCTTATGTTTTCCCTGTGTTATAAAGCAATTTTATAAAGCCATTCAAATACAACCAACACAACATATTTGGAAAAAGCTGCATTCAATGTGAGAAATAGAAGAAATGATGTGGATGACAAAATGCTCTTTTTCTCATTGTATTTTCTTTTTTAATTTTTATTTTTTTCTTCACAATTTATTCATTTATATCCCGATTGAAGCCTCCTCACTCATCTGCCCCCGTCCCACCCTCCCTCCTTCTTCCCCTCATCCCTTTCCCCTAGTCCACTGAAAGGGAAAGTTCTGCACTTGCCATCTGCCCATAGCTTGTTAAGTCTCATCAGGACTTTTTGGATCCTCTTCCTCTGTGGGCTGGCAAGGCTACATCATCAGGGAGTGATCAGAGAGCAGCCAACTGAGCTCATGATAGAGGCAGCTCCTGCTCCCCTCACTCAGAGATCCACATGGAGACTGAGCTGCCAGTCAGTCACATCTGAGCAAGGGGTCTAGGTCCTCTCCATGCATGATTCTCGGTTGGTACATGTCTCTGCAGGACCCCCTGCCCTCCTTGTGTGGCTCCTGTCTCCTCCATGTCTCTCTAAGCCCACTGTTTCTTCCTTCATAAGACTCCCTGCGCTCTGCCCAAAGTTTAGCTGAGTCTCAGCATCTGCTTCGATCCCCTATTGAGTGAATCCTTTCAAAGGACCCTCTACAGTAGACTCCCATCCTCTTTCCTCTCTTCCACTGCTTCTAGTGTCTTTCCTGTTTGCCATTCTGAATGAGATCTAAGCATCCTCCCTAAGGTCCTTCTTAGTGTTTAGCTTCTTTAGATCTGTAGATGGCTGTCCTATATAATCCAATTAAAAAAATGGGTACAGAGCTAAGCAGAGAATTCTCAACAGAAGAATATAGACTGGCAGAGAAAAGCTTAAAGAAATGTTCAACATCCTTAGTCATCAGGAAAATGCAAATCAAAACAACTCTGAGATTCCATCTTATACCTATCAGAATGGCTAGATCAAAAACTCAAGTGACAACACATGCTGGAGAGAATATGGAGAAAAGGAACCTTCCTCCATTGCTGGTAGAAGTGAAAACTTGTACAACCACTTTGGAAATCAATCTGGTGCTTTCTCAGAAAATTGGGAATAGCACTACCTCAAGATCCAGCTATACCTATAACTTCTGGGCATATACCCAAAAGATGCCCCACCATTATTCTCAACTATGTTCATAGCAACTAGATTTGTAATAGCCAGAATCTGGAAACAACCTAGATGTCCCTCAATGGAGGAATGGACACGGAAATTGTGGTACATTTACACAATGGTATACTACTCAGCTATTGAAAACAAGGAAATCATGAAATTTGCAGGCAAATGGATGGGATTAGAAGAGATCTCATTTTATTTTCTAACGAAAAGGATTCCATTGATAATGCATGTTTGCAGAAGGAATATCTTGTAGATTATATGGAGGAAGCACCTGTCAATAATAAATCTGATGGCCTTTAGTTTAGGCAGGAAATAGGAAGTGGGACATCCAGTAGGCAGAGAGAATTCTGGGAAAGAGCCAGGCACATATGATTCATCCAGCAAGATGTGAGGCAGACGAACACATGGTACCTGTGCCCAGGTAACCAGCCACATGGCAGAATGTAAATTAGTATAATATTTTAAGGTATGAGCTACCCAGAGAAGAGCCTAGCTATATGGCTTAGGTGTTTATAAAATAATAATTGAGTCTCATGAGTCCTTTCTCAGGACCTGTGGGGGTGGGAGAAAAAACATCATCCTTACTGCTACTCATGTCATCTGAAAATTACACATGCATGAAATAGAGTCCAGTAAGGAGCAGACTTAGCTACAGAAGACTGTCAGGAAGACAAAGAAGGTGCTTCTGCTCTAAGGCTTACTATTATCAAAACTGGGTGTCAGACCTCGATTTCTTTCTTTTTAAGTGAAAGTCTACTCAGCAAAGTGATTACATTCATCATCAAGTTTTTTTTTTAATATATTATGTATTTAAACTAATGGTATGCTTTCTAGTTCTCTTGCTTTATGTGTCCTCCTGGTCCGCTAGCACTGCCATGCATCTTGAAACCTTCTTCAAAGTGTTCCCCTGGCAACCTCACTGAGACAATGTCAGTAGTTACAGGCCAACAGGAGTTCAGTTTCCCCCTGAAGATGAGGTGTAGCAGCTAATGTCCCTGAAACTCAGCAAAAACCATCCCCCAAATCCAGTCTGTCCTCTGCCTGTTGCATGTTTCCATTTCAGAATTCATCCTGGTTGATGATACTCAGTATTAGTTTTCTGGGGACTTTTAAAATTTTCTTTTTACATTTATTCTTTATGGGGGGGGGGATCATGCACATGCCATAGTGTGCTTGTGGAGGTCAGAGGACAACTTGTAGGAGTCCATTCTCTCCACTCACCATGTGAGGCCCAGGGACAGAATTCAGGACACCAGGCTTGGTGGCAGGTGCCTTTATCTACTGAGCTACTTCATTTGCCCTTCTGTGGATTTTCTATGGGTAGATATTTCCTTCAGTTATGACACATCCATTCAAAAATAATTAGTATTCCCACACTGCTAATGTAACAGCTGGAAGATCCTTCTCTATTCCGGCTAATTAGTAAGAAGGACATTCAGTATAATACATACTTTAAATTCCCAGTGCTAACATAGAAAAGTGCTCCAA